TGGAGGGTGTCCCTGCCCATGGCAGGGGGGTTGGAACTTGATGATCCTTAAGGTCCTTTCCAACCCAAAAACATTCTATGATTCTATTGCTTTTTTTTTTTAAGATGTGGATAGATAATCAGAATAGTATTCATATCATTTGTGCAACTTATCTTTCAGGAAAGTGAATTTAGCAAGTTTCTTACACTGTTCTTTCAGTTCAAATATATCAGCAAAACTAGGAATGAGGTGAGGGGACAGTCAGTGGTAATCACAGAATGGTTTGGGTTGGAAAGGACTTTAAAGACCATTGAGTTCCAACCCCCCTGCCATGGGCAGGGACACCCTCCACTAGCCCAGGTTGCTCAAAGCCTCATCCAGCCTGGCCTTGAATGCTTCAAGATAAACAAGAGACAAGTCAATTTCAGCCAGTCTGTGTAGAGACCTAAAATTAAGCAATTCAAGTCCTCTGCAGCTACCTTTTCGTAGAATGGTAGATTATAAGCTACAGCTAAACTGGCTTTAAAAAGGGGATGTGGAAACTTTGAGACTATAGCCCTTTAATAACATCTGGATAAAGGGAATTTGAACTCCAAGAACCATTTTCAGTTAGGAAATAGAAATATACAGTCCCTATTTGCTTTCTCCCCCCTCTGACTTGAGAGCCACTGATGTAGAAAGTGCTGTAAAACCCTTAAAAAACCCAATACTTTGACTTAATTTCTACAAGCTAGTTAACTCCAAGTAGTCATCTGTGAGAAGAACTACAACAGGACAGCAAAGTCATTGGTGCCATGACAATAACACCCACTGCTTACTACCATCAAAACAGCATTTTGTTGCTAAACATCCAGCAAATCTGACTTTACCAGTTTTAGAGGACCTACTATGAGTATGCCTGCCCAACAGTCATACAGGGATATGACTAACTTCAGCTGCACCAGTTCAGCCTGGCACCATACCATGAACAACCACTGACTCAGGTGGATGTGAATTAAAATGCCAGACTCAGCTGAAGCTGTCAGCACAGTACCCAGCACATCTGTGGAATGCACCACAGAACAGCATCCTTCATGGAGGACAACACCCACACAACTGTGACCACCAGCAACTGCTGAAAACTGCTGCATGCACGTCCTTTCTAGACTTAAGACATTTTCCATTTTTAAGTTAATAAAAGACACTGCATCCATGCCACATGTGGGGATTTCCTCAGCCAGTGCTCACATCTGCAGCATTAAGTAAACTCCATCCAATGGTCTGACAATCTGAAACACCTCCTGTAGAAAGAGACACAAGCTATATTCACAGTTCAATTTCTAAGGCTTGAAACCATTAAGCTTTAATTCTATTTCAAATGCATATTTTTCTCATGTCTGACAACTTGCAGCTTTGCCTAATTCCAGAATTTAGCCAAGCAACTCCAACATTAACCTTAAAAGGCTTCATGTACCTAAATTTCAAGGCTTGCTATTAGATACCTGAACCTAGGTAAGGTTTTTGGTACAGTAGTAAAGTCTTTCCTGTGTTGGTCATCATGACATAATCTATTGCATGTTCAATTCTAGTCCTGGTAAAAAAAGGTAATTATTTAAAGCTTCCTTGAAATGTTTAATCTCCATAAGAAGAAAGCAAGAAAGGATGCAGACCTTATAGGACACACCATTTTATCAGGGATTCAGCAGTGCTACATACACAGACTGCCATCCCATCCTCTTTTACATCTATTGTTCTCAATTTAAGCAATGTTCAGTCAATAAGCCAACACATGTTCCAGGATGCAGAACTGCCCCATACATTAAGCCTAGTGGAAAGACTTACCACTCATTTGCCATCAAATTTACAAGCGTGCATACGCATTTTAATATAGGAAGCACATTCTTAATTAGAACAGGGCTGCAGACATTCTACTGAGCGAAAGTACAGAACATGATATTATCAGAACAAGACACTGCATCTTGCTACCTGATACAGAATGTAAGCAAATATGGACTGCAGATGCTTTTTCTTTCCTCCAGGAAACATTCTGCAATTCAGAGATCTATGCTTTCAGATTTACAATTTAGGGAAGCGGCAGTTGCACACTTCCAGTTAAGTAACTTCTAACCTATTTTAATTGGGCTTAACTTCCAATTGATTTTCATGATGATCAAATAGCATTATCAACTCTAACACTATTTTAGCAACATGGAAAAAAAAGCATTCAGATTTACCATTAACATTCTGAAATTTAAACATTAACTACTGTCACTTGTCTAGGCTGGTTACTTCAGAACAGAAGTCCTTGGTTTTAACCAAATTTGGGGAAGAGAAGAAAAGATGTGACAAAGATGTCACCAAGTCACATGGAAAAGATTAGTAAGCTGAGTAGTGGAACACTATTTCTTTTTGCTGAAGTAGTCCTAATGTTTTAATATGAAAAAACACCAGACTTCTGGTTTTTGCTAGAAGACATCTCAAAAGGCAGAAGTAGCACCACTTAGCTTAAGGGACAAACAGTGAGAATCTTAGACTGTCTCCCTTCAAAGTGACAGTAGTCTTAATATTAAATAAATACTACAAAGACAGCAAATAAGTGAAACAAGTTAGCCTCAACTTT